AGTTTACCGACGTACGAGTCTCTCTGGCTGTCTCTCTCTCTCGCTCTCTCTCTCTCTCTCTCTCTCTCTTCTTCTTACTCGAACCTTCAGAGTTCCAATATCACTGGTACGTTATCAAGTAGTTAATTGACAAATATATTCCTCAAATTTTCAAATTGATGTGATCCCAACTGGCTAATTCTAATTATTTGTATTTATTATTTGTAGAATTGCTGAATTGGGTCTCTCTTGTTCTTGGAATTGTTCATTCTTCGATTAGCTGAACTAGATGCGGTGTGAAAATACCTCTTTTTTGTTTTCTTTATTCAACTAAAAATTACCTCGCTTTGGTTTTTGAATTAAGGTTCATGGAGTACGAGCTGTCTGATAGTAGTGGTAAGTTCTTCAAAGATCGCCTCTTTGCAAGCAAGCGCACACACATTTTCATATCTGTATAGAGTGGAAAAAATCACTTTTTTTTTTTTTTTATGGTTTATTGTAGCTTTATTTAATGAATCATGGTTAGGATTTGATGAATTTGTTATTATATGAATTATTTTGTTAATTTTTCAACGGGGGGACTGAATTGGAATGATTTGTTAGGGTTAGCTTTACGGCTTCTGTTAACTTGTTACTTTCAGTGTGGTGAAAATCGTTTCAGGGTAGAAAATGAGCTGCATATGATAGATCAAGATAACTTAATTCCTCAAATGACCAATGGAAGGTGGGGCCCAACTAAAAGCATCTATCGACTGATCAATAAAAAGGGTATTATGTCATCAAACAATGGAGATGACCTGGTCTTCCAACACAGCAAACTCGGTTTTACAGTCAAGTGACCATTTCAGTCATAGCTATTTGTTCTTCAAGTTGGTTTCGTTACAATTTCTGTCCATGGTGCATCTGGACTCCCGAAGCACCATTAGTCTCACTATCTTTTCCCTTAGGTTTAGGTTTTTAAATTATATATACTGTGGCGCTATATGATCTTTGGCCATAGGTCTCGTGTTACTATAGAATGTCAATATACGAGTCACGAGTAAGAGGATCTCTACTCTAAAGGGGCCCGTTACTTTGTTCGTAACTTCTTGACTTAGGCTTCCAATCAAATGAACTTACTTTATGGCCTTGTCGCCCTGCCTCTAGTAGAAGCTAAGCGCTTCAAAAACACGCGAAGAAATGTTGCTTCTGTCGGTCGGTGCCAACGAAAGAGTAACAACAACCATTTAGCGTGGACAATTGTATGGATCAAGGTGCGGTATTAATCATTGACTTGGAAGACACTAAGACGCATTGGTTGTGACGTCACGAAATGCTATTAGGTTATACACAAAATACTGCATAGAAGAACCAGTTTAACATTACAAGAGATTCGGGCATTCACGAAACAGTATCAACCAATTAATTATTGGATGACTTGGGATAAAACCAGAGATTTCTCACATAATTTGGTCGAGGTGCATGAGATTCGTGGTTTACATGAAACAAGGAAACAATATTAGTGCGAAAGTTGAAGAGGTACTTTGCACGGGCATCCCGCCTCCTAGCAAAAGGCATTCGTAAGTTAGGTGTGGAGTTGACTACATACATTGGACATCCAAAGGGAGTTCACTTACTAATGGGTGTGTCCAACGATAGCACTACCTTGCAGAACTTATGCAATGTGTGATCTGCGATCTACGTGGACCAATGAGTAACAACACTTGATTAGGTTGGATGTTGGTGCCGTAGTCGGCTTAGATATGGACCTTATCGATGAAACTCTAACTCTGCCACCATGGGTCAAGTATAACTCGATTCTCAACTGCATGAATAGTCTTACCTAATAATGAGCATGATGAGTTAATCCAAAGAGGAGTTTCTCAGAGTTACTTGATAAGTTATCACATCCCTGACATAATATATATACCAACTGTCACCACGTTGTTTCTTCATCTTTTTAGGTTTCCCTTAATGTGCTATTTTTGAGGTTGGGGCTTAATTCAATGATATCTTGTTAACTTTGGCGAACATATGTTGTTTTCTTTTACCTTATTTTATTATGTTTTCCACTTCATATTATAGTTGGATTACATTTTTGGTGCCTCTGCAACTTGCTTGATGGTTAACCATGGAATATATTTTGAGTTCGTTTTTTTTTTTAATATATAGGCTAGAAAATGCTTATGCCTGAAGACATTCTGCCACACAAAGAAATTGTCTATTATTTGCTTCTGCAATTTGAAATCCATCTGGTCCACTATTTATTTGAAAATTTTTGCAAAATTTTCTCTGAAAGTAGGATTGTGACATAATTTATGTATTTCATAGTCATAACTTAAAAGGCTAAAAACAGTCATTTAAAGGAAACATGACTCAAACTAATTACCAGATGCACCATCACGTCATAGTCCTACCTTAATACAACCATTTACCAACTATTTGAAGCAAATGTTAACAATCAAATTATCTTAACTTTCAAGGATCCCAACATACTTAAACTACAATGTGAAAGAAATTATTTACCCTCCTCATTCAATCACAGATTGCAAAGAAATGTTAGAAACAAGTGAATTGTTTTGACAAACTAATAGATCACATACACAAACAATTTAACAGCTAACCTAGATTATCAATTCAAAAGGGTATGAATGAGAACTCACCATAGTATTCTGACCTTAAAGGAAGGATAATAAAGTTGCGAGTGCTTCAATGAAGAGCTCTGCATGGTCAGCAATCAATCCTTAGGAATACACCAAGAAATTAGCAAAGATCCACGCATTTCACTAAAAGAAAAAAATGTGAATAATAATATATATTTTTATAGCGATGCTTTGCGTGGTGTCCAACTACTCAAGTTAGTTTTATGACCAAAATAATCAAGATCTCATGACTTAGTACACATGTTCAAACACATAACCGACACAACCGCAAAGCTTAGTTGTTATCGAAAACAAAAAGAAATAAGCGTTTTCCTATCACAAATACTTTTTAACTTCCCTTGTAAAATCACAGTATAATTCATTATCTACACAAGACAAGACTGGTCCATCACTTTTACAAAAAGAAAAAAGAAAAAAAGAGATGATCTACATTTTTATGTGTAATAAACTTTGAAGAAGAAATAGAACACACAAAAAACAACAAAAGGCGGCAGGATATATTTTTCATACCTTGAACTGAAGTCCTAACCAACAAATGTGCTTCAAATTGGCAAAAGATCATCAACAAAAAAGTTTCATTGATAGAACTACCAATAAAGAAACACCAAGTTTGGGGGATTTTTCAATAAAGAAGTGATTTCCTGGTTCAAGCTGTTGAGACTTCACTCAATTGTGTTCGCAAACACTGAGAGATTTTAAATGCATGAATGAATAACACACCCACGTACGCAATGTCTACAACTAAATGTAAAATTATTCATTATTCACAAGAAATAGTAATTATGAGTGAATGTTAGGAGCACAAAGATAAATGTATACCTCACACAAACAAAGAGGTCGGTGCCCAAATCCCACAAGAAGGCTCCCATTCTAGTATTTCTCTTTCTTTTTTGCTGCATCAAAGCTCTTTCTTTTTTTCCATTTTCTTTGTTTTCAAAACTCGTTTTTGTGGAAACAAAACAGTAGACAACTGCTAAAAATAAAAGGTCTTGAAATATCCTCATCTTTCTTCTAGTTTTCTCAGTTACGAAACAGCATGAATCAACTATTTAGTAATAAAAACCAAAACCCCAAAAAAATATTATACATCCTAGAAAGAAGAAATACATGTAGAGAGAGAAAGAGAGGGAGAGGGAGAAAGCACATCTCTCTTGACAATATCTCCTGTTAATCCATATCTCCATAAAGTAAATGCTGAGAATATGTTTTGTCTGTTAGGTTAGCAGCCAACTTGTGAGGAAAACTATTTTTTTGAGGCATTTCAACTGTTTTTCTGAAGCATTTCAACAAATACACGTGTCAAAAAAGGGTTGTGCTTTGGTTTTGGGGGGAGCGGGGGTTCACAGTGGGGTGGTGGCACATGGTGTTGTTGGCTTGGGGCTATAGGGTGGTGTGGGGCTGTGATGGCTGATGGTGGTGGTGGTGGCTGGGGTTGGAGGTCATGTGGGACTGTGGTTGGTGGTTGGGGGTGTAGGTGACTTGTAGAGAGAGGGAGAGAGATATACCTGAAGGTCGTTGGCAACTAGAGTTTGCTGGCGAAGCGGGTCGGCTGAGGCGGTAGCTGCCAGAAGTGTTTTGCTAGATGGAGGCATGTCATAGCACAAGCAATGGAGAGAGAGGTTGGTCTATGTGAGGGGAAGGAGAGCACAGAGAGGGAGAGAGAGAGTTGGGGAGAGACAATGTGAGGGAGGGCAGGGAAGTAAAGTGAGGAAGGAGAGTGATGCAAGGAGAGCAGTGTGAGAAAAAGAAAGGGGGGGAGAGAAGTCAGAGAGAAAAGGGGGAGAATTGCAATGGGCTGAAAACTAAAAAATTGGCAGTTACCTTGTGCCATTGAATCAAATTTGGATTACTCATATTTTTTTTTTGTGGGGGTTATATTTTCATAAACAGTTGTGCTTTGTAGTGTAGATATCTGAATTCTTTCTTCCGAAGAATGCTTGGAATATTGAAGTTTCAAGGCTGAAGCTTTGTTCTGGGATCCTATTCTAGTTTTTTATGGATAAGGAAAATTATAAGTTATACCCAGCGAAATCGTTTTTTGGGCATAAGTGGGTTTTTAAAATGCATGAAGTTTATAATAAATGAAAAATGTTTGAAGAAGACAAACCCAGAGTATTTTTTTGGCTATGAATTTTACAAATAGATTAAAGTTAAACAACATCCTGCTAATAGATGAAAAAAGGACAGTTTTGAAAGGGAGGCAAAATATGAAATTATTTCGTTCTCTGGAAACAATAGAACCTTAGAGCAAATAGATGATCTATAAGCCTTGATATATCTTCTTCCATAGGGTCTTTAGGTGAGTTTATGGGAATGTCCTGTCATCATTGATCAATTGCTAGAAGGTGGTGGGTTGTTTTTCCTTGAGTTCCCTCAATTATGGGTATCTGTTACTCTTTCCTTGAGAGTCATAAAGGAGGAGAAAAATCCCTCGATTATTTGCTTTCTTTTATGAATCCTCGAGTTGGGCAAGGAACTGATGCAATAACTATTTCTTGATATCATACCAAGCAAGCTGCCCTTTTTGTTTGAAGGAAATAAAATAACTGTGGTAGCTGCTTGTCTCAGTAGATTCTGCTGACTTAACCTGCAAATGAATCTTGTATTCCTCTTACTCTCTCTATCCGTGTTTATGAGTGTGTGTAGGCTGCAGTGCTACTGCTACTTAAATAAGTGTCCTCATCATTATTTTTGCCACAGATTCATTCACCCCATCGTGAGGAAAACTTTCACCTCTGCAGATTTTGCAGTGTCTGTTGCCATATCCAGCAAATTTATTTATGCTATTATCTTTTTGATGTGACTGCAGGAACGGATGATGACCTTCCTCCTTCACATCAGAATAGGTTTGCAAGTGGGGGCCGTGTTGGGAATGGAAGATCTGCAGTTGTGCGTACTGCTTCATTCCCTCGTAAGCATAGTGATATGGAGACTCGGATCCACCACATAGAGCAAGAAGCCTATAGTTCAGTGCTGCGCGCCTTCAAAGCTCAATCTGATGCCATTACTTGGGTACAGCTTGCGATTTGTTTTTGCATATCCATGATATTTGATTTATTAATGCTATTCAAATAGAATTTGTTTAAAAAGCGGCATATTTTCATCCCACCACTCGTGTTCAAAAAGAAATACATCCTACCACTCTAAAGCAAAAGCGCTATAATTATGTTCTTAATTTTTTACTAGATTTCTTTGGTGAAGTTCACTTTTTATCATTTTCCTAGTTGATTATTGTGGATTATATTGATTAGGTTCTAAAGCCTTCTTATTGTGGATTATGCAGGAAAAGGAAAGCTTAATTACAGAACTCAGAAAAGAGCTGAGAGTATCAGATGAGGAACACAGAGAGCTTCTATCAAGGGTTAATGCCGATGACATTATCAGGATGATAAGGTCTCATTATTTAATGATGTACATTTGTGAATGGTTTGGTTCTTTAGGTTATTCATCATGTTCATATATTCATTAGTATGGACTCATGCTCCACCTTGTTATTAGGGAGTGGAGGGCAAGTGGGCTCCAACCTTGCATGCTGAATAGTAACCAGCCTGTTCATGACCCCATTCCTAGTCCTACTGTCTCAGCATCACGAAAGAAACAAAAGACATCTCAACTGGTACCTGCATTATCCTTGGGAGCACCATCTCCATCATTGCAGCCATCTTCATCGGCCTTAAAACGAGGCCCTGTTTTAGGAGTGAGGGGCAAGAAGCCAAAATCAGTAAGTTGTATTAATATGAAGTAAAGTTTGTTTACAAAAATGACAAATTAATAACAAATTTGGTTTCTTTTTATTATGTTTTTTGGTTAATGGGCTACAATATTGCTTACTGCATCTTTTTTAAAGTCTATGCAGTTCCCTTCTACAGGTTTCATTGGAAGGGCTCAAGTTCCTGGCCAGGGTTCTTCAGGTTCCTTTGCTGTAAATGAACCTGCTGAAATAACAAACTTTGACACCGATACGTTAATTGGAAGGAAAGTTTGGACAAGATGGCCCGAGGACAATAGCTTCTACGAGGCTGTTATTACTGATTACAATCCTGCAGAGGTATGTGTCTTTGTTTTAGGCACAATGTTCCAGTATTTAGTAGGCTTTGACTTAATTGGGTTTTCCTAACATTGTAGGGCCGACATGCACTTGTTTATGATATCAATACAGCAGATGAAACATGGGAATGGGTCAATCTCAAAGAGGTAAATACGGAGCTATGTTTTTGTGATTTTGATAATATCATAAACGCCACTTGGTATCAAAATAATAATATTGAGCTTGTTTTCTTTGTGTTTTTTGGTGCAATCATTGGCATTTTTGAGTTGGCCGGAAATATGATTGACAATACAGCGCTCCGTAAAAGTTAAAAATTAGCTTTATTTTTCTCTACTAAATGGTGTGGATTTATTGCTGCATCTTCCTGTTGTGCATTTTTTTAGGACAATACTGAGTCCTTTGGTTCCTTTTGTTATGGAGTACATCACCAATGCTGCGACTCAGTTAATGATTAGTTTCAACAGGTTATAGCTCAACATGTCTGTTTGTTCAAGAAGATCAAAACATACATTTTTGGGGGATAAAAATACCTTTATCTTATCTGGTGAATTTAATCAAGGTCTTCTTTTTTAATCTTATAATATTTGATGATGAAGTGCACATATTTTGACTCAACTCACTGACAGCATTCAAATGGAGCAAGATCCAGATGATTTGTCCCATCTTTTTGATAAGAGGCCAATGTAGTAGTGTCCTCATTAAATATATCAAAGCATGAAAACTTTTAGTAAACCTTAAAGCACTCCAAGAGCTAGTTGATTTGGCCCATTTTTTTTTTTGTTTTTGTATGTTTCATTTTTCATTTTGTGCCTAATAGCTTGAATTCTACTCGGCACTGATACCTATATATTATGTTAGATATCTCCTGAAGACATTCGGTGGGAGCGTGTGGATCATGGAATTTCTGGCAGAGGAGGTCATAGTGGACCAGGCCGTGGATCTAAGAAATCTATGTCCCGTGCTGGTGCAGTTGCTGGTATTGGAAGGGGAAGAGGAAGCATAAAGGGCTCCCGAAAAGACTTTCCTCAATTACAAAATGGCGTTGGAAAGAAGGCTTTGGGTGATATCGAAATACTTCACACTGATACTCTAATTAAAGAGGTACATTCAAACTTGATTTAGGTTTCTCATTGCAAACTGGTGGCTTGTTTTCCCTCCACTGATGGGTTTTTAGCAGGTGGAGAAAGTTTGTACTGCAAGCTATCCTGATGTTATAGAGATTGAGAAAGCAAAGAAAGTGCTTAAAGTAAGAAACATATATTATCTTGTGGTTTTCCTTGACTTCTATTGTGCATCTGCAATTCTGATGTCTTTGCAAGTCAATGCAGGAGCATGAGCAAGCGTTGGTAGATGCTATTGCACAACTTGAAGATGCATCTGACAGTGAAAGTGGTAATAACTGACTGCATATGCCCGTGTTATATAAGTATAAAATTGCACAAAGGCGAGCATCTTCTGTTGTATAATTCATCTGCTCTTTTTTATATATGGACTTGGCATTAATGCCTATGTAAAACTTGTCAATTAAACTCACCGAATTTTTCGTTTGGAATGTGAGAGGAACATCCAATGGTTGCTTAGATCCCCCCCCAACACCATTCTTCAATATTATTTTCTCCTTGTAAGAAGTGATTCTCAAAAGTGCTGTGTTTTTCTATCTGTTTCTGCAATCAGGATTGATTGGCATTGGCTTTTGATGGTGCTGTTACCATGCATTTCAGAGTCCCTTTTTCAGCAGTTGCTTATCATTCCTAAACTGCCATATTGCAATTACCAAGCAAATAGATTGTGGTTCATATCTGGAATTATGGATATCGTTCGGAAAAAAATTCACTTGCTCTACCTTTTGTGTTTTCTTCCATTGCTGTCATATCACCTCCAATTTTTTGATTACAATTTGCTGTTTATTCATTGGCCGACAGTACGATGCATATGTTGTTTTCCCAATTTTTGTTCTTAAATCCACTTTGTAGCAGATGGGGGAGAGCATCAATATTCTCAAGGACAATCAATGGACCAAGAACTGAGGATGGAGAAATCGACGTTATGATGAAGTGGCAGAGATAGAAGAGTAGTTGAAGGTGGAGATGTCAACAACATGGCTCATGACACAAGCTGGATTTGATAAGCAAAGCAAGGCAAGGGCAACTACGTGTAATTGTCATGGGTTTTTAGGACTAGGGAATTCCTACTGGTAACATGCCATAGTTAGAATACCCAGATAGAAGAGATCTCAGTGGGTGTGGGCACTCCTAGCTGGGATATGCCTGTGTAAAATTATGTAATGATTAGTAAATTATGTAAGCGACGGATTCAATAGTATTAGCCTTGCTTATGGTCTCTCTCTCTCTCTCTCTCTCTCTCGTGTTGCTTAATATTACAGGGCTTTCCAGATTTTCCACAGAACCTGAACCAATGATCTAAATCACTGCACCACAACATGAGAATGTTCATTAATGTACAACGAATGGAGGGCAACCAATAGGGGGACCAAAATCGGTAGCTTTTGTAAAAGGATACTCCACGGACGGCCAGATACACCTACAAGGACGAAATAAATTGCAGGATCAGATTAGCCATCTGAGCATCATACGCTGGACCTTCCATTTGGAAGTGGCTTACTCCCTCGATAAGGTGTGTCAGGACACGACCTGCTGCACAATGGAGTTTGTTTTTCAGTACACTGGTAAACCCGTCCCGAGTTCCCATAACAAATAGTTTTGCTTTTGGTGACTGCAGAATAGCTTTGTGGTGCCGTCGGAATAGCATCGGGGCCATAACACCAAAAGGGTATCCTGAACCCACATAACCAACAACTTGGTCTACTTGATCAACTGCAGAGCCTGAAATTGGTGCGCCTGTGGCAAAAGAGTATTGGGAAATATGGTAAGATCCTTTTGGTTGAATACGCTTAGTCAACTCTGAATCTATTCTTGGACGCCCACAAAATAATGCTCAACACTGAAGGAACTTTACCAAGTCTTTACAACTGTGTGCATAAAATAAATATACATATGGTAGAAAGAACTTCAAATAAAAAAAGATTACACAAGAGCTCCTAGCGAAACGCAAGCAAGAAATAAAAAGATAAACAAAAAAAAAAATAACCAGACAACTGTGAGGAGTACAGAAATCAAATATTCCACAAATAGGAAGGGAGGGAGAATCCGTAGATCACCTATAAATTCGCAAAAGTACTTATGAATGCCGCATAACCCAACACCACGTCATACCATCCCCTTCACTGGTATCGTAACTAACATGGTGTTTGGACAGAGTCTCTCTTGTATCAGACACTCACAAACGTATAACCTGTACACATTTCAATAACTTAACCATTTTAATCCTTTGCCAACACTTAGCCAGTGCAAATTTTTGGAGGATCTACCAGTAGCTCATGTACGTGCTACCGATAGCTAAATCCTCTTGAACTTTTCTACCAGTAGCTCAAGACTTGACACCGGTAGATGAGCTCAGTTTTTTCCCAATTCAATTTTTTTTTTCAATTTCAACTTATTCAATCTCATACAACATTCACCCAAACTCATATAACATTAAATTTTACTCAAAATATAGTCCATAAAAGTTCATTACACAATCCTATAAACAATATTACATGTCCAAAAACTCATTACGCAATTGTTTTACAAAAATGTAATCTAAAGTCACAACTCAAGTTTTTTTTTATCAACGAGGGCCCAAGTGAGAGTCATCCACCAGCGCTTGTCCCGCACCTAAAATGTTATCTCCATAAAATGTGAGTCTCGCTCAATAAGATATCTCCTAAAGAGACTACTCACCAACTTAAATACATATGAAATACTCGCATGCAATTCAACAATTAAACAAGCATTCATCTAAAAACATACAACTTCAAGAATAAATATCATAATGTCATGTCATGTTATGACGTGAAACTCACACATACAACGTAACTTGAGCCTTCATTGGCTCCCATAATACATGCAATGTCATGCATATAAATTCGGGTATTTCAAGCCCCCGCCATTAATGTTACACATCTAATGACCATTTATAAATCTCAGGTCTTTCTTGAGGTGGATATTTATGGACTTCTATCAACGGGCACCCTACCGACACGACATTTATAGACTTCCACCAACGGCTCCGTATACACCGACACACTTTATAGACTCAAAACCAATGGTGTGCATATTCAAATCACCGAGTCTTGCACCCGAGGGCCATTCTAGCTAATCCCGACCCTATTTTCAATGCAAACCCGTGCGACTCAGTCAAACCTTCTCTAGCACACACATCATCCACTAAGAATGGTGCTTGATCAAAACCATGCACACACCCAGACCCATGTCACATGCCTACAAATGTGATGTTTCTCGTGCATATGCAATGTAATGTACAATTATATTTTGTATTACTATGCAACCAAGACTTCAATTGTAATTACAACACCATGTTCAACATGTCATGAGCACAATATAAACAATTTTCAATTCCTCAATGTAACTTATATCATAAAGAATATAATTACATTCCAACATCATCATATTCCCAAATCGTCAATTATATCAAAAGCATGTAATTAAGATCCATATTCTTACCAAGCATGTTACAACATTATCAATGAAACAAACATGGTGCATCAACATAGGCATTTTATCAAATACTCAAAGGGTAAAAAATCATGTAACACACAATCATGTCCAATTTATAACATTTCTTATGAATTTACCAAACAAGCAAATTCCACAAATCAAATTCATGAAAAATTGGTTTAGCACATTTCTATACCCATTTCTTATACTCTAGTTACACTAAGAGTACTTCAAATAAGAGAATTCATCTCTAATCAAACTACCCACTTTATACGCAACCCTAAGTTAAAAATAAAACTAGGTAGGAGAAGAACCCTACCTCTTGAAGTGTAATACAATAGTAGAAGCTCCAAGAAAATTCAACTCAAGCTTTAGAATTTGATTTTCAAAAATTCCGTTCTTGAGACTTCGTCAAAATTCACACTTTTTGGTGCGTAGGTGTAGCTCTCGTCGCGTTGAACAACTTTTGTTCTTAGCCCAAAGGATTCACGTGGTGTCGGATTTCGGTGTATTCGTAGACCTGGAGAAACTTGGGACAGTCATGAGTTGGGAGAGTCCAAAGTCAGTCTTCAAGATACATAGCTTCTTGGGATTGGTGGGGTATGACAGGAGATTCATTAAAGACTTCTCTTGACTAGATGCACCTATGACTAGATTGATCAGGAATGAGATTAAGTTTTAATGGGATGACTCGTGTGAGAGGGCATTCTAAGAGTTGAAGAAGAGACTTACTTCAATTCCGCTTTTGATAGTTTCGTAGAAGGGATAGGGGTACATAGTATATTGTGATGCCTCCAATGATGAACTTGGGTGTGTTTTGATGAAGTTTGGAAGGGTGATACCTTATGGTTCTCAGCAGTTATAACATGGAGTTGGCAGTCATTGTCTTTGCCTTGAAGACATGGCGCTATTATTTGAATGGTAAGCAGTTTGAGGTATTTTCGGACCACAAGAGTTTGAAGTACATCTTTACGCAACGGGACTTCAACATGAGGCAACACAGGTGAATGGAGTATTTGGAGGATTATAACTTCACTTTGCATTACCATCCCGGTAAGACAAATATGGCGGCTGATGTACTCAGCCAAAAGTCACGGGAAGTCTTGGCTAGTGTGACATCTTGAGAGTGGCAAATGCTTGAGTCTATGGGACAATCCAGGCTGCACTACAGGGCACTTTGAGGAGTCTAGTAGCTACGCCTTCTCTACTGAGCAGAGTGATCGAGTCCTAGGGACAGGACACGGAGATATTTTCCATTAGGGACTAGGTACAGTCAGGTACGGGGTGACGAGGGCTAAACCATTCACGTAGATGGTAATCTCCGATTCAAGGGAAGGGTTGTGGTTTCCTAGTCCACGGATCTGAGAGAGGAGATCCATAGGGAGTTTTATTGCTTTTGTTTTGTTATACATCCAGGTGGCTAACCTGAAAATAAATACCTGAGCCACATAAGAAAATATATTAAACCTACATTTGCTACATAATTTTCTTGCACCCGCTTGTAGATCAGTATGAATACTGAAAAACACAAAATGAAAGAAAGATAGAAAGAAGCAAAGAAGAAAGAGAAAAGGGTATTTACAATTTAAAGAAAAGAAAACCCATGAAAGAAATTCAAAGAGAAAAACAAAAAAGAAAAGAGCCAAGAAAGTGAAAAATGAAAAAGATGAACATGTAAAGTTTTAGAAATCTAGAATGAGAATACTAAGAAATGACAGCTTTTGAATCACATTGACGTCGTTTCTTAAACCCTAAACCAATAGCCACATTATAACCTTAAAAAGTCCTTTTTGATTCTAGAAATCAAGCATTTGTATTAACCTTAACTATCGTAAAAAGAAAAATGTTAATAATATGTTTAATATAGTGTTAATATTCTTTCATAAGATTATGTCAAATTCCAATTTTATTCGTATAACCGTTTTTTTTTTATTAACTACATGTGAATTTATTTGCTTCGTTAAGAATATTTCAATCACATGTAGTTTTTGAAAAAATGGTCACTATAACATGTGTGTATTCCTTACTAAGTGTATTCCAGGAGATGATTGACATCAAGACTACCATGAGAGATGGTAATATTTCTTAAGTAATTTTTAAATAAAGAAATCCTTACACACACACAAATTTTTATAAAAATATATAGATGATGTTACAACTAACGTGTGTTACTCTTATAGTGATCAGAAAAAAGAAGTATTTGAGCAATGCACAGGAATATAAATTTAATTTTATTTGAGAAAAATATGAAGTATAAACTCCTAACTATGGAAGTTTGTAGGTAGCTTCACTGAAAACTTTCATGAGACAAAACTCGTCCACTATGGATCACCTAGGGGTTTAAAGGCTTATTGTATATGCTAAATGTAATCGTGAAAAAATCTACGAAATAATTTTACCTCTGTTTATATTTTATATTGTTAAATAGTTTTTATAATTTACTAGGGAGTAGTAAAATTTAAGTTGGGGAGTGTGATTAACCCTAATTAGTATATGAATTAGAATCATTAAATAAATCAAATTGGTAAGATAAATAACTAAAAACTATCAATTAGGGTTTGTGCAAAAATTAGGATTTTATGTGTGTTATGTATAAAATTTTCAGGGTTTTATGCCGAATTGCCGGAAAATACAAGGAAAAATCTGACAAAGCTTGAAAGATCAAGGGATCAAAGTATAAATCAACCAAGAAAAGCCAGAACAATAGAAGATCAACATCCACAAGGCACCACCGTCCGGACGGTGGCTCTTGGAGTCCGGATGGTGGCCCTTGGCAGCTCACCTTCATCCTATACCTCATGCTTCCTCATTTTCTATACATAGGCCATGCATGGCCTTCTCCAACAAGAGGCCGAGGGAGAGAAGCCCTAGGAGAAAAAAGAAGAAAGAGAGAAATCCAAAGATAAAAAGAAAGTCATATCCAATCCAGTCCGTCCTACTCACAAGCCAAAACTCTATACTTCTACATTTCTGTTTTATCTTTCTATTCGGATAGTTGAACTACCACCACCTTTTTGTCTTAACTGATAATAACGGTGGTTGTATTTCAGTTGTTCCTTGTGAAAGAAATATCCGAGCCTGTATTTTATTTAGTGTTGTAATGATAATTACCTGCACTTCTTGCTTATCTATAGTAATGGAGTGTGAGTAGTTACTTATACCCTTCAGTGAAGAGTGAACATGTGTAACATACTGGTTAACTTCTGTAAACTTCATGTATGATACACCGGTGTACGTAATTGGGAGTGATAGCCCAGAATTATGTCATTAGTGAGTCATCAACCTGCCAGTTAAATATCTACGGTGTTCCACCAGTATGACTTGACCTCCAAAGGAATACTGAGGATGTTTTGAC